GGGGGGCGGGGGGCGGAGCACATGTGTGCACTATCTCCAGTGTTCAGTAACTGGTTAACTGGTTACTTAGTGTGGCAGGATTCTGAGATAATCTCTAATTTTATATGCTGCTCTGAATTGTTTAGTTTTGTTTAATCATGGCTTTTTTTTTTTAATTAAAAACTGTCCTCAAAAGCAAATGAAGACTAAATTTTACAAGTGCCAGTGTTGGAACCCCAACTGGAGCTGGCAGTGAAGCTGAATGAATGGGTCGGGAACTCGGGGAGCGTCTGGACTAGAGATGGCACATGGCCGTCGGTGGCAGAGAGATGGCTTTTGAGCAGGAGTGGATGAAGCACCCTGATAAAGATTTCAGAGAGAAAAGACAAGTGCCCAGGACTGCCCGCTGCACTAGCGGGCGCGCAGGAAGCCGCCAGGAGTGAGGTCTGCGGAGCTCGGAGGAGCCCCTCTTACCGCAGGGCCACACGCCAGCTGGGCAGGCGGCCAGTGCTGACGCGGAGCTCGTGTGTAGGGCGGCGCCAAAGGTTTGCCCACCAGGGTTCCATCCCACTACTTGTCCCTTGCGTGCCTTTTATTTTTCCCAAAACTCACATGTTAGAGAATCAGCAGTTGCTTCAAGTCCATGCGGAGAGTAGTTCTGAGGCCTCTGGACAATGAGAGGCCTGGTTAACAGCCAGGGCTCTGAAGAGCGAATGGAGGCTGTTTGGAGCACACCTGATGGCTTGTGAATGGACCACGTGGAGCTTCTGCTTGTGGGTCTTAGGGGAGTAGCCTCTGCTGTAGTAGACACATGTGCTTCAACTTCACCATCACCCACTCAGCGTGCAAGTCTTGGACCTGATGAGTTGGCAGTCCTTCTTGCAGGACGAGAAATGCCAACCTACCAACCTTGCTTTCTGTTGACAAGAGGTCAAGTTTGGGGGAGGGAGCTTGGTTGTTTCTCAGCTCTCCCCTTGAGTGTCACTGCCTTGCTGCTCCGTCCTTGGGTCTCTGCTCTGAAGCCTGGTGGCCCGCCCTCTCTGGAGAGTTCCCGAACCACTGCCAGTCACGACTCTGCCCAGCAACTTTGGCACTCACCAACCTCTTGTAGGACTGGAGTCGCAGTCTGCCTAAGGGTGCCTTCAGCCGTTGGTGCCTATTTCTGTTGGTTGCTGGGGGCCTGCTTCGGTGTCACCCAGCCTGCCTGTCAGCATCCTGGCATTCAGCAGAGAAGCGCTGCCTCTGGTGTGGGGCTCTTCTTGGCACTCTGACTTGGCAGCTGCCCAGCCCGGGTGCAGGGAGGAGCACGCACCCCGGGCTGCTTGGCCACCCCCTGTGTCTAGAAGTCATTCTCTCTGCCCTTCTCCCCAGCACTGATGCTGCAGAAGGGAGGCAGTTTTTCAGGTCGCGCAGGGCATGTGGAGATAGGGTTGGCTGTGGATCTGATTAGTTTTCCGATTTTCTCCCCTTCTAGGTAATACTTACTAATATTCAAAACAGAAGTCCTAAGCCTGGCCCTGCTCCCCACGATCAAGAACTAGGTTTTTTCCTAGAAACAGGACTTCAGAGAGCCCATGTCCTCTATTTCAAAAATGGGTAAGCCTTCTTCATTTTTTAAATCGAGTTCCTAAAGAAGGAAAGTAGAAAGCCTGGTAATGCTGTCTCCAGTTCAGTGGTGATCACACAAACTACAACTGGACTATATATGTTTTTTTAAAGAACAAACATAGATGCTTTTGTCTCTCCTCCACTGTCTCCTTCTCTTTCCCGGAGCCCTGGAGGGGGGAGCAGGCAGGGTGGAGGGGCCCTGGGAGCTCGTGTTGCAAGTACAGAGCCTCAGCACCAGCTGGGGTGATCTGACAGGGGCGGGCTCTCAGCAGCCCTTCCTGCCAGGGAGTGGCACCCCGGCCTCCGCTCTTGGTGGGGGAAGTTACTGAAATGGAAGCCCTGGCCCCCAGGAACACCGCCCCCCTCACCCACAAGAATGGCTGGTCAGTTCAGAGAATTGATGCCAAAGCTCAGATTTTTTATTATTATTATTTTTTATGAAAGTGTGTGTGGCTGGAAGGCTACACCAGACATTTTCTACTTGAGCAGCCTTTGAGAGAGTTTAAGAACATGGAAGTAAGGGATAGCATTAATGCTCTTGATCTTTGCTTTCCTGTTTTGTGTTATTCTTGCGAGAAATGCAGTGATTCTGTTCCAAACCTCTTCAGCTGTCCCTGGTTTTGACATTGTGCTGCAGGATAGAGGTGCATGGAGACCAACAGTAGGTATCTGGCTCCTCTCAGCTCCCCTAGGCTGTGCATGGGCCCCTCTAGGAGTCCAGCAAAGGGGACTCGCGCCCCGGCCTTTGGATCAGTGAGCAATGGGCTGCTCATTCTTCACGGTTAGGAGCTTCAAACCTTGGGGTGTGGCTCATAGAAGTGGAATTCATCTGCCTGGTGGTCCAGGTCTCACAGTCCCTCGTTCCCCCTGTCAAGAGTTAATGCTCATTTTCCAAATCCTCTTGCACTGTGATAAAGCCCTGCTTTGCCCCAAAGTCCAGCGGTTCAGCGCCACCTGGCCCAGGACACCCCAAGGTTTGGAATGGCTTGGTGCTTGGGCGCGAAGATGCTCTCCAGCGTGATCTCATCGGCCACCGACTGAGATCGTGTGAGCGATTGCGCATGCGCCGAGCTGAGACTTGTGTTATATTTTCTTCACTGTTATGAGTAGTGGGGCGGGGTGGGGGGGGGATGTGGGATATTTACCGGGTGACCTACCTGTTTCTTCTCCCTTCTCATAACAAATGGTGGCATCACTAGGACTCCAGCCCCCAGCCCCACCCCCACCCCTTTGCGCTCCCACTTGCAGTCCTGGGACTGGAAGGCTGGAAGGCGCTCCCGGTGGCTCCGGCGAGCCCAGCCAGTCCCTTCTACTGAAAACATCAAGTGTGGGCTTGATAAGCGTGCACTGGATACCTCACTTTCTTCTGGAAGCCTGCCTGTTCAGAGGAAGAAGCAGTGCTGTTGGCTCTGACCGTGTCCCCTGAACCACTAGCTGCCCTCTGGAATCCAGCTGAAAAATGATGCGAGGTTTGCCAGAGAGGTTGGATGTCATGCTGGGATTGCTGATCACTCATTTCCCCTTTTATTTTACTCAAGTTCAAGGAGGTTCCCACGGATGTAGCCAAAGCCAGGGGAAATGCTTAACTCTGAAGCTTTTTTTTGGCCTGGGTCTCTTCCCTGGACTCCGGAGCAGCGCTGGGCTGGCCAGCTGCTGGAGGCACCTTGCCAGCAGGGAGGAGAGATTGCTCTGGGCTAGGAGGAGGGGAGCCAGGTTTGAGACCACAGGCCGGATGAATAAGTGAAACCAGTGAGAGGTTTTCAGTGTGCCAAGTGGTTGGGCTGCCTGAGTCCCAGCGGCAGGTCCCGCAGGGCCCTGATTGGGGTTTTCTGTAGAGGCCCCGCCAGTCCCTCTGGAGCAAGTGGGGACTGGGGTGCGGCCATCTTGCAGCGCTGGTGACTTCCTGGGTGCCTTCTTCCTTCGCTTGGCTCCTTCCTCATCTCATTCCTTTTGTTTTCCTGCATTTAAAAAAATGCGTATCTGGGAGGATAGGGTGGACAGAGTGTGATGATGTACAAGGGTAGGAAAATACACATTAGAAAAGTTTGCCAGTAAGGGCTGGAAGTTGATAAAGAACATCTTTTTCTTCAGAAAAATACTTTAAATAGGCTCAGCTTTTTTCTTTTCATCCCCTAGGAATGAGTTACAGTAATTAATTTTATTCTTCCATATTCTCTCATCTTCTCCAAGAGTGAAGCCAGAAAGGTGAACAGGGGTCTCTTTCAGAAAGAACTGAACCCCAGTTGCTGTGACCCCCCAATCCCTTAGACCTCGTGACACATTCACATTTTCCAGCTGTCTTGTCTCCTGCATCCTCACAGCTGGCCCGAGGCCGCCCCACTTTTACCAGGAATCTGGCTTCCAGGTTCAGGCTTTATCCTAGAGCAACACCCTGTGGAGGGCAGTGGGGCTGCCTTCATGGGAGGGTCTCGGTGGGCACTTCAGAGCATGACCTTGTCTCCCTGCCTCTGAGAGGGTCTGCCTGACCTCCAGGAGGAGACCTTGAGGGAGGTTCCCATGCCTGCGGTTTGTCCAGTCATCACACTCATTTCTAACCTCTCCCTTGTCCATCTCCTTCCCTTAAGCCCCTCTCTCCTGACCCCCTTTCCGCTCCGTTCCTGCCTCCCCCACCACCTGCCTTCTCTGTCCCCCACCTTAGTTACCCTTACGCCCACTTCCCTGCTTCCCTCTCCACCCCCCTCCGCAGAGGGGAACAGCCCATCCATGCCTGTAACAGTTCCCCCTCAGCCCACCCCCACCTCTACCCCCTGCCCCAGTGTTCCAGAGCCTGCAGCCTGTCTGACTTGGAATGCACCGGTCTGTTTTCCCTATCCCCTGGGTGGCAGCTGCCCTCCTGTGCAGGGTGAAGAAGTCTTGTGCAAAGTTGGGGGAGAGTAAAAGGGTAAGGTCAGAGCGCCATGACCTCAGGCTGCTGCCTTGAGGCCACTTGAATTGCCTCTCCCACTCCAGGCTGTGGGAGAGGCAGCAGGGCGTTGGGATCTGAGGACCTGAATTTGGACCCTCCTTTTCTTGAGGGGATTAGGTCTACTTCTACCTATCTGGCTGGGCCTTGTGAGATGCAGATGCGAAGTGTGTGGGGAAGCTCTTCCCCAGCATCAGGCACATAGCTGCTGGTGAATGGTACCTTCTAGTGATGCTGGTGCCTGGCTGGCTCACCTGCTGGAAGTGGGGCCAGGGGAAGGTCAGACTCCTGTGAAGTGTAAGTTTGCAAAGCAGGCATCACATGTTCAATTGCTGATCCTCACGCTTCAAAGTTTCCAAGGAAGGGCATGTGTTTATCACCTGTGGTCCAAGTGAGTTCCATTCAAGATGTGTGCCATCTTAGGTAACACCTAATAACTTAGAGCCATGTGGTGTTTCAGAGAAATGAGGTGGGTTGGCTGGTGTGAGGCTGTAGTTCTGGGTGTTCTTTGGGTAGCACATAGGTGGCAGAGGAATAACTCCAACAGGGCTTCCTCTCAGCCTGTTCTCCCCACAGCCTAGCTTCTCCCCTTGGTCTCAGTTCCCCTCTGGCTGACCTCTCCTGAGGCTGGCATCCCCTCAGCCTGGCCTCCCCTCAGCCTGGCCTCCCCTCAGCCTTGCCTCCCCTCAGCCGGGCCTCCCCTCGGCCTGGCCCCCCCCCTCAGCCTGGCCTTCCTTCAGCTTAGACTTCCCTCAGCCTCACCTCCCCTCAGCCTAGGCTCCCTTCAGCTTGGGCTCTTCAGCCTGGCCT